TAGGACAGTGTCAGTTAATAGAAGTTGACAGACATATTGTTGTTGAATGTCTTGGAATATAGTCCACTCCTGGCTCTAATGGAGAAAAATTAGGTCTCCATTTACAATTCAAAGGATAAAGACAGGAATAATTAAATTGAGTTGAATTTGAATCCACAAATCTTCAAATTATATCTTGGAGGATTCAGAAAAGCTGTATTGTTTATATTTCAGTTTTAATGTTTTTATAAAATTGCAGGATTTCACTAAATCCTGAGGCAGAAACCCTGATGAGCCAAGAGTTAATCTAGTTAATCTACTTCCCAAGCCATGCCATTCTTAATGTCCCTCTGAGGTGCCTTTTGGATGGAATGCTGACTTGGTTAACTTAGCAGTATACTGATGAGTCTGTGTTACCACCCTGATGTTAAAGAGGAAAGGGCTGTTTATGTTGCACAGTGTCCTTCCCATTTCCTAGAGAACACTCATACTATGAATAATTCCTGATGTTCACTAATTGCACATTTCCTCCTTTGGCTCAAACCTTGATCTTGTATTAAAAAATAGATACTGTGAAAAACACACTGTGATCAGTCATACGTACATACCTTAGTGTAATTTAAGACTCTTTCCTTCAGGCAAGGAAGTTTGTTTTGTTCTGTTTTGTTTTATGGTGCGAGGGATTAAATTCAGGGCCTCATACATGTTAGGTAAATGCTGTACTACTGAGCTAAATCCCCAGCCCTGTTTGTTGCAGCACTAGGGATTGATTCCACAGCCTTCACATTGAGCTACATTCCCAGTCCATTTTAAAATTTTGAGGGTCTTGCTAAATTGCCTAGGCCGGGCTGTAATTTACAGTCCTCTCACCTCATGCTAGGATTACAGTCCTGTGCCACCAAGCCCAGCCCTTTTTAACTTTTATTTTGAGACAAGGTCTTACAAAATTGCTTGCAAATAAAAATGCCAGGATAGAGGAAGGTAGAAATTACAAAATGGTCAAAAAAAAAACCAAAAACAAAAACAAAAAACAGCTGGGTATGGTGGTGCATACCTGTAATCCCAGCACTCAGGAGGATTGCTGTGAGTTCAAGACCGGCCTGGGCTACATAGTGAGTTCCAGGTTAGTCTCAACTACATAGTGAGACCCTGTCTCCAACCCTCCCCCCAAGAAAAAAGAAATTACAGAATGGTAAGGTTTATAATGTGTTCTCAGGCCCATATTGTACATAACAGTGGCTTTGGATCTTTAATCTGTGTTATAAACACACAATACCAGGGCCGGAGATTTAGCGCAGTGGTTCCCGTGCCTGCCTCACAAGCACAAGGACCTGAGTTCGATCACTGGTACCAAAAAATAAAATTAAAAAAAAAACACAGTACCAACCCTAGTCTTGGAAATAAGTTCTTGGATACAAAAAAAGGACAGGAATTTTTCATTTTTTATTTATAAATATTCATTTATTATTTTCCATGCTAGGAAATAATGCAAAATGCTTTCCACATATTGTTTTATGTAATTCTTAATTATATACTATAAGTAATTTTAATCCATTTTAAACATAAGGAAACAAATTAGTGACTTGACCAAGGACATTCTACAGCCAATAAATGACAGGGCTGAAGTTAGCACTTTTGTGTGGCCTTAGAGCCCACCTTCCTAGTTATAACACTATACTTGGTGAAATTGATATTTTTCGTATATGTGCTGCTGAAGTGAGCACAACTTGGTGAAATTGAGAACCTAGCTCAGCACAAATCCAATATTATTACCGGACAAATAGGGTGGTGGAGTCACTGGAATTTATTTATTTGAAAGGCCATGAATGTGTTCCTTTCCAAGATCACTTCATCACTATTCCTTATTCGTCATACTACTCCCCATCTTCGCACCCCTTACCATTTTTATAGTTGCCTTCTCTGTGTTACAGATGATATGGACAAAGTTGAAAAGAGGGGATTGTGGAATCTTCCTATTCCCAACCACTTTTTCCAACTAGTCCCTCTTATTCATTTGAGTTTATGTAAATGACATTTAGTATCAAGGAATCTTTGGCCTGTCCTTCAGGTCTCAGTTTGTCCTTGATACTGATGTCCTTACATATCTCCTTTATCAGGAGATAAAAACAAGATGTTAGGGATATATAGTGCCTTTCATATTCTGGGCTCTGTAAAACAAGGAAATGGCTTAACTGGGTGAAGAGTGTAAACTAGTGGGGCACATATCCTACAAGGTCATTGTTGCTTTTTATTTTAAATAGAATCAGAAGAAAACCACCTCCCTCTCTCACATAGGTGGATATAATATAGTCTTTAAAAGTCCAATTCCACCATCTCCTAGCTATGCAATTTGGAAATTTAACTTCTGTAGGCCTCAGTTTTTATTTCAGCTACAAAATGAGAGTAAGATATGCTTCATAGGCTTTTATCTGTGGATATAAAAGTCCATGATAATGGGATTCTGTATGTAAAGTGCTTAGCAGAGTACCTACTCAGTACCCAATGATAGCTATAATTAACAGGGTCAATAACTATTATCTAGGTAGATAGATACGGCCAGATAAATGTAAGCATGAGTGATATATATTTGTCTGGAACATCAAAATACTAACAGGGGTTCAAAGTTGTAGAGTTAGTTCTTGTGTTGTACAAATGCTTCTCCAGAATTCATACAGATATGCAGTTACTGCCATGTAGAAAGCATTATATGGCCAAAGTCCTAACCATTGGAATAGTTTAGTGAGACCTTTTTCATCCTAAGCTGTTATTTTCTATTACTAACTGCCTCAGGTAGCTGCCCAAAATAGTATTAATCCAGTATTTTTTTATTAAGTAGGAAAATTAAGAAAATCTACAATAAAATAGTATTGTACCTTTCAAAGACAAAATAGTCACTTTTGCCTGGGCATGAATTTTCTGGATAACTGAATATTTTTATGATAGTTTTTTTTTTCCACGTAAAACATCTGCAGATTTATTTGAATAATAAAGACGTTGTAAATATACTACTACTATAGATGTGTTTAGATTGTAAATTGTGAGAAATTTTGATAAGAAATTTTAAATGAACTTCAACTTCTCTTAGAAAAACTAGAACACATCCCCATCAAGTGTTCATATTCTACCTTCTGACCCAAAGTCTTAGCTTGGAAATTATGCTACAGTTACTAACAAAACACCAGCCATGCTAGGGAATGCAGTAGCTATCTTGTCTATGTTCTGGGGATGTGAGTTGACCAAAAGGAGATGAGGACTATTAACTAGATGCCATTGATTGAATTAAAATGGCCTTGTAAGCAGGTGAAGTGTGCACATTTACTTACATTCACATTGACTTTGCCAAGGATTTTTTTAGGCTTTTCTTCTGTCATCCTTTATATGAAGTAACCCAAGAATTAAGGTTCAATTTGTGTTACTATAACCCAAGGACTATAAAATCTGATCTAAAACCCTGATTAGAAATACTAAAAATGTGCTTCTGTTAACATATATGAATGCTTTCTTTAACTTAGGACCTTGAACTTAAATCTTGTTGAGGGGGAAATACTAAATTTGCTTTTGGAGTCCAGGCTACACATGTCTAAAGAGTTGGTTGGCCTTTATATTTTTAGCTATCACATGACAAACTAGGTTTAAGCTGAAAGAAATTCAGGTTAGGCAAAGTTATTTTCCCCTGTGTCTTTCCTCTTGGAATAGGACCATTTGATGTTTCATATTAATCAGTTAAGAGTTATAATCTGTGAAATTGAAATTCTGTAGATGTAAATATTAATGTCTGATTTTTATTTATGTATAAATTTTTAAAAGAAAAGGACTATAGACTCAAGAAAGCAAAAATAACTTGAAAAGCTTAGAAAATCATTATTTCTAACATGTAGTATAATGTAAGACTATACATGCCCTAGTTATACTAGAGTAAACATTGGACTTAGGCCACCTATAGATTATAAAATGAGATAAATTGCTTGCACTATAAAATTATTGAATCTTTTTTGCTGAGTTCTAAGTGCTGAGACTCGAACCCAAGGCATTGCACATGCTAAATACACTCTCTACCACTGAACCATACCCCAGCCCCTAATTTAAATATTGAGCTTTAAATTCTTTAAATACAGTGTAACATTAGAATCATGATGGATTAAAATTACAGCAGCATGAAGAACTAGATGGGACATATTTAGGGAAGCAAAATGGGAAAACCGAAACCTCATACCACTGTAGTGAAAAGTATAGAGTTGGATTTGAGCCTCTTAATCAGCCCACCCCACTTCTGTATCAGCAAAACATACCCAGGGTCCAGTAAACACAGTTCCCCTGCATCTGAGACATGTGCAAATGAGGGAATGTTCCCAACTGGCCTCCAACTTGGTCTCAAAGCTCTCTGAATAAAAAAATATTGACTAGAGTTAAAATACTTGCTGTATGTAATTAAATGTAGACCCACAACATAACTACTCATAGTAGAGACAAAACTGACCACTCCAGGGTAGTAATGGTATGTGCTGCTCTTTGTTCTGAATAAAAAGAATGATACCTAGGTTAAAATCCGTTTTTCATCAAAAGTGTTAACCAGTTTTTATTTATGTTTCATAAGATTGAGTTTTAGCTCACTAAGGTCAGTCTCTAATGCACAAAGAAGAGGGCTTGGGGTGTTGCCTAGTGGTGAGTGCATGCCTAGCAAAATGCACAAAGGGTATAAATCAGGTTTTCATAATTTACCTGGCAGTGTTCTTTTTAAATCCTGCTGTATGTTAATTTCTCTCTGCTTTTAATAGGTTAAAAAATCTATTTTGTAATAATGTGTGACTCCTTCATTGCCCTTTATCTTCCCACTGACTTTTTTTTCTGCGCCTTGAGCAAGCAAGAAAATCTTACACAAGAGGAGGGAGAAACAGAGTTAAGGAATACAGTAGTTAAATACTGTTGCTTGATTTTCATTGGTTATCTCCTTTCTTACAGCGGCCAGTCTAATCCCCCGTCCCAGGCAAATCCCTCCCTTTCCCCACCCTCCCTGCTAGGGGGTTCACCGGGTGTCTTGCTAGAAACTGAGTGCAGGCAGTATGTAGGCATCTTCCATTCAGAATGAACATTAATGTGTTGAATAGAGAAGAAAGCTTTTAAAAATGTATTTGTCAAAATTGCGTGGCTTTTAAAAAGGGATAAAGAGATGCTGAACATTTTGTATGTTAGCATCAACTCTTTATTTCTGTTCAGACTGTTAAGTTTTCAGAGGCTTAAATACAAAACGATTTAAGAAGAAAGGAAGAATCTGCTTAGTCGCCTCTGCTGAAGAAGTGCTTCATCACCCTCTTCCTCCCCCTGTCTCTCTGCAGCTCTCTGTAGGTTAGAGTCTGTGCCGGCTGCAGAGTGTTCATGTGTTAGCTGAATAGAGTTCATTGGCAGACACAGATCAATACAGGTTTTCTTTCTTTCTCCAAATTACAAAATGCCATCCAAAGAGTCTTGGTCAGGGAGGAAAACTAACAGAGCTGCAGTTCAGAAATCAAAACAAGAGGGCCGTCAGCAAGATTTATTGATAGCAGCCTTGGGAATGAAACTGGGTTCTCAAAAGTCGTCTGTGACAATCTGGCAACCTCTGAAACTCTTTGCTTATTCGCAGTTGACATCACTTGTTAGAAGAGCAACTCTGAAAGAAAATGAGCAAATTCCGAAATATGAAAAGGTTCACAATTTCAAGGTAAGAATATTTTTTTCCCTTTTCTTACAAGGAATCCTCATTAGTTGACATAACAATAAAGGAATATTTTCTGTCTTTTAAAAACTAGCATGACTTGACTAAAATGTCAAGCCTGATCTTAAAGAATAGTTGAATAAAGCTCATAGAAATCCAACTTCATTTTCTCTAATGCTGTTTTAGTATTCTATTTGAGAGTGTAGATACTGGTAAGTCTTCATTGATATTAAAATGTCTCATTTAATAATGATTTGGGCATTTTTACTTGTGATGCAAATGTGCCTAAATACCTTTGTTGGCTATTTCAGGAGAGGATTAGATGTTATCTGTTCCTTTCTGGTAAAAAGCTTTGGCTATAAGAGGCATGTGCAGTTGCATCTGGATTGAGCAGATGGTCTGCATTTCCCATAGTTTGTCTTTTCTCCCCTGTTAGTGAATTGACCATGATGAAAGGAGGGTAGCTACTGTGGGGCTTTTGGTGCTACTGATTCTAACTGCTTCTCTTTTCTTGAGTATTACTTTCACCTGAGTGTGTTGTTTAAAATTATTATGTTAATATGTTTTATCAAATGTACCTGAACCTTGTTCCATCAAGATAAGCTCTATGGAGATCCTGCTTGTACTTGTATCAGGGTATAAGGCCTTGAAGTTGTGTCCTTTGCATCCTAATTCAGAGAATATACAGTGTGAAGTTGCGCCTAAAGAGGCCCAGCTATATGTAATATGTGTATGCAACCGGCATTTCTATAGTATCACCTCAATGGGTAGGAAACTCTGTGCTTGCAATTAAGACATAAGTATATTCAGTTTAGGCAAAATATCACTAGCTTTGATATTAGAAAGGCAGTGTTTGGCTTTAAAAGGTGTTCAAGCTAGATATCCTGCTCTTTCATTTATTAATTTATTCGACATGTAGAATATACAAGTCTCTCTGTACTTAAACAATTTCATTCCAAATTTGCAATTCACCCTGATTTTTAATACCCGCATCTATTTTAGTCAGTATTAAATACCATGCCCCCAACATGCTTTGCATTTTCCATGGTAAGGAATAAGCTATTACGATCTTTACATCATTTAGGAGTAAAGGATGAGTTACTTAAAATGTTTCTGAACTATATAAACTGTATAAAAATTACTAATATTTTAAGGTAAACCAGGTATTCTTCTTTAAAGGACCTTACCTTTCAGTCAGTATTGACTTTAAAGTAAAATTGAGACAATTCATCACATTAAATATTTCATAGAAAACAGAAATCATATGTGTACCAAGTTCAACCATATTATCCATGTATGAACCCAGACAGTACACACAGGTCACTAGGCCTCAGTTTCTTATTTAGTATGCAAACTGGTCTTACAGGACTTGTATCAGAAAAACAATTCCAAATAACTTCTCTTGCAAATATAAAAGTTATATGTCTGTTAGGTCACAGAAATGTCTATTTGAGTTCCTAAACAAGAACTGTATGCATATTCTTTTGAAATGGTTGGAATTGTGAGATTTATCTCCAAAGATATACCTCTGATTAGTACAGCAGAAATAGACCTATTAAAAGAACCTTTTAGAGTGAGGTCAAGTTCATTGAAAGTGCTTTTTATAAATACTGATTAAAAACAAATAGGTCTGTTGAAAGATTTGCATAAGCAAGCATATTCTTTTTTTTCCTAGGTTATATCTTCCAGTTATTTCTCAATTTTACTTTAATGCATGGCTTTGTGAGCAAATTCTGTACAGCCCAAAAGTGCTGACTACAGGACCAATTGTGACTCTTAGAAGTCATCTTCTTGTAACTAAAAAATTAAAACCAGCTAGGGCCGTAGGGGCCGGGGATTTAGCTCAGTGGTTCTTTAGCTTGCCTCACAAGCACAAGGACCCAAGTTCAATCCCTGGTACAAAAAAAAAAATCTTCTAAAAAACCAGCTAGGGCCTGCTTTAAAAAAACAAAAAAAAAAGTATGCTCAGGAAAGAGATCATGTTAGACAGTGAGTTGCATTAAATTTTTTTTTAAACTTGCTAATGAGGTCAGAATTCTCAGTATTTGACTCTTCCCATTAAAATGACTGTTATTTAAAAATGTGTCTGGGTTGTGACATTATAAAAAAGAGAAAAGGAAGGGGAGGGAGGAGGGTCATACTTGACTTCCGAGAACATGCCTGAAAGAATTCAGACTCACTGGCCAGAGCAGTTCTGTCCCACACAAGCGCACATGGAGAAGGTCACTGCTGGCAAAATGTTCGTACAATTGGGAAGTTTATTGTGGGGAAAAACCCTAAGCATTTCCATAGTGAGAGTCACTTGTGTGACCTCGTCACAACTATTTTCTGTGTTGTTAAGTAGCCAGAAGCCCACTCACCACAGCCTTATTTCATTATGGTTTTCTCTTTGGGTTCTTAGACTGCCTTGTTATGTAATGCTGCTCTGCACTGTGGAATGGCTGTCAAATCTTATTTCAGGAAGTGAAGCCAAGAGCACTGTATACTGGTGAAAGCACTCACCAAGGTGAAAAGGCCAGACAGAGCAACTGGACCTAACTGCAGACTCAGGAGATACTTGAGATTGAGGGGCTTTTTAGTAGAAAAAAACAGGCTTCCCATCTTGGTGTTATGTAACACAGTCTCTCTGCTGTTGTTACTTAGAAGGATCTGATGAATCTATCACAAGAAGCACAGTATTTCTCAGGGAGGTTATCATTTTAGAGTTAAAAGATGTGGTATATTTTAAAAACTTTACTTTATAAGCTGCCTATATAAATTAGAGTGAAATTCTATAAAAGCTAGGATTTTTGATGTCACCACAAAGAAATGAAAAATTAAAGTGAAAGTGACTTTATCCTGATACAGCCTCTCCTTTTCTTTGAGCTACCTTATTCTAATACAAAACACAAAACTTAAAAAACATCTGGCATTAAGTATAGAACAAACATGAAAACACATTCCCCTCCAGCACTAATAACAGCTACATTCTGAAGCTCTCTGGATAGAATGATAGATAAGACCTAGCTCTTTGCCCACAGGAACCTGCTTATTATTTGTATCAACTTGGGCCAATTGTTTAATCTCTTTAAATGTCTCTTTTCTACATCAGAAAGAAAAACTGAATACCTGGTACATGGTAGCCATTCTGTTATTATAAGTTACCCCTATTTGGATTTTTTAAAAATTTATACTACAAAAACTGTGAATGCCTATGAGTTAAAATGACTCTTGTTTTTCCCACCCAGTAGCAGAGGTCACAAGGCAGTAAACCTTAACGTGATGGGGGCTGAAAAGGCTCTTGCTGCCTCCCCAACTTGCAAGCAGAGTAGTTGTTACATAAGAGCAATTGCAATTCTCATGCACCATAGAATACAGTGAAGTCCTTTCTTTTACTCTCTCTAAACAGAGCTAGGAAATGTTTTATTTAGTTTGTTAATTCAGAAAACTCTGTAACATAACATCAAGATTAAGTACAATAGCATAATAGGAGTGCACAGGTGGATACGTTTAAAAAATTATAGGGCAAGGAATCTAGCTCTGTGGTAGAGCACTTGCCTGGCATGCACAAGGCCAAGGGATCAGTCCCTAGCACCACCAAAACAATATTATATTAAGTAGGTACTTTAAAATATGAGTTTAGTTCTTTTTAAAGGTTGATTGTAGTTTCAGATACTATTTGAATTCTATATATAAATGAAAGATGGAAGATACTACATTAATAGATTTAATGTTGTCAAGATAATATGCAAGCACTGAATCCTGAAATGTGAATTGATGCTGTAATTAACATAGTATTTAACAAAATCAGTGCCTCAGGACCTACTGCAGTAGAGAAATAATAGTGTACCCAGACTTCGGGTCAGCCACCAAACATTCTGCTGTTTGGTAAGCAGTGGCCAGAACTTCCAATAAAACTCATCTTCTCTTTTCATCCAAGGATATAGGCAAATCCAGGTCCTCTGGTCTTTATTCCACATTTGAGAATAAATACAAAATGAATCAAATAAAAATAGGTCCTGTGCTGGAGATTGAACCTAGGGCCTTGTGCATGTTAGGCAAGAGCTCTACCTCAGAGCTATACCTTCAGCCCAAAAAATAGTTTTAAAATTAACTGTGGGGTCAGACTACACAATCTGTAAATTCTCTTGCAGCTCTTAAATTCTCTGATTGGATTATACTGAATACATTAGATTTGTTATAACGATTTCATGTTTCATAATTAAAATTTTATTAAAGTCCATAAGGGGAAAATTTTCAATATGTTCATTTGAAAAGTCACTAAAACAAACTATATATGAAGGAAAGTTTTAAAAACTGGCTTATTAATAGCAGTGAAAATCACATTTAAGAACCATGCCTACTTACAACCTTGTGTTAGCCTCACTGGTTTCACAGTGCCTTCTCCCTTCCCTCTCCCGCGCCCCCAATATCTGGTAAAATTTCTGTAACTAGATGCCCAAAAAGCATTTGTTGAATGACCAAATGAATATACAACATGGCAGGGTAGACCTGTACTGTTACTTTGAAGCTGTTTCTCATGATAGCAGGAAATTTCAATTCAGAAACATTCTAATGTTAAGATCTGAATTGTTCTATTTTATTTTAATCAGACTTATTTCTAAAATATAGTGAAATCCAAGATACTATCACATTATCAATGTACATTTTAAATACTCAGGAATTTGAATATTATTTGGAATTAATGGTAATATAAAAGAAGGTAGATGCAGCACAGCAGAATGGAAAAGACAACCTGAAATGTCTCATTAAGCTTCTGCAATAACTTCACTTACAGTTTAGGGAGAGAGATGAACATTAACATTTTAAAGGAATATTTTTCTCCAAGTAGGATGTTAAATACATGTGTCTGTATTTCTACTACACACACACACACACACACACACACTCCCCAATTTCAAATGTGGGCCACTGGCAAAAGAAGACAAAAATAGTAAAGATCAGTGCATAGCTGAATTCTCTCCCTAGGGCAGTGAGCCACAGAAAGGGCTGATGAAGAGAAACTG